CGTTGCGGCCGCTTTCCACCGTGGTGCAGCGAGCAGGGGGTCACCTTCGGTTAACAGTGGGGCTTGGTAAGGCTTTAGGTACCGAGGAGAGTCGGGGCTGGAAGAGGGAGTAAGCGAAACGTGTGTTCCCGGGAAGGTGACGCCTTACTCAGAGCTGTGTGGATTGCCGGTCCCATAGGCTCTTAGTGCAGTGTCACTGCTGCGAGGGTATGTTCCCCGCTCGTGTCGGCCGTTCTTCCCCGAAGTTGGTTCTTATTTATGTCAGCCTCTGCATGCATTTTCCTCCCAGGGAGGTGATTGTCAGGCAGTGAAGGAGGGGAGAGTGCAGAAGATGTCATAGGGCAGCAGGGACAGGCCCTGGGAACCATTAGAATGAAGTGTGGTGTTACTTTTTGCACGTGCTTTCTTCAGCTTCTGTGTATTAAGAATACTGTTCTGCATGGAGCTACTGTACGTACTAGTAGAAGCCTTCAGGTCCTTCTCTTATGGCTGATGTGCTGATAGAATCCTAAAATCACGGAGTGGTTTGGATTGGAAAGGATCTTGAAGATGATTTAATTCCAACCAGTTTGCTCAAAGCCCTGTCCAACCCGCCTTTAAACACTTTAGAGGCATGGGGCAATATAGCATAACGCTGTAAATTAACATATATAACTTCGAGTCATGGAGCATAAATAGCTCCATGTCAGCCTTGAAAACAGTTCTGAGTAGCGTAGTTAATGGGTCATGCTACAGATGGCAAATGAAGCTTCAAATATAGTAGTTTAAACATCAGCATTAAGGGTTCAAACACTTCTTCCAGAAGTATGTGGATTATGTTACTGTCTTAACCATTAACTACTTTGTTTGTTCTTTGGGGTTAGTGTCTCATTTTGTCTCTGTGTTTTTGGTACAGTGCAGGAACATAATGGAATGGTGGAGATCACTATGAATTTGGGATGTTACTGTCATACAAACATTAATGGTTTGTCTTGAGTTTGGGTGCTAGGGCTTGCTCTCTTCTTGTAGTTGCAGTAGGCATGCTGGATGCACACAATGAAAGATGTCTAATATAGTTAAAAAAAAATCACTGATAAAAGGCTAATTTTTTAGGTTCCTCTAACTCAAGAAAGCTATTGCATGATGTATCAAGATGGAGTTCCACAGGATTCTTGCGGAGCTTAAGACCCAAGTACATTGTATGGGCTAGATGAGTGGAATCTCCTTCTGTGACTGCAGTGCAGCAGGCAGCTGGAATTAAATGTAACAGACTTGACTGAATTCATTCCATTTTCAATTTTCTCAATTTTCTGTCTTTTTTTTTTTTTTAACTTAACATGTAAAATAACATAAATAACATGATGTCCTAGTGAAGACAATAGAAATTGTCATTATGTGGCTGAGTTTCATTCTTTGTAATAATTCATTTTGAGGGAAGTTGTTGTAAGTACTCTGTTTGGTAGGAATGTATTCCACAGTGTTTTATTGTAGCATTAGTTTTCACTCTGAGATTTTATTATGAAACAGTATTTGATAGAATTATCTGTCAAATATATTTAATATAATCATAAAGTGTTTTTAAGCAAGCAGATGTTTTGTGGGTTTTTTGTGGTGTTAGTTGGTGGTGGTGTTTTTTTTTTTGGTTGTTGTTGGGTTTTGGTGTCTTGTTTTTTAACAGATGTTTTTTGGGTTTTTTTGTGGTGTTAGTTGGTGGTGGTGTTGGTGGTTTTTTTTTTTTGTTGTTGTTGTTGGGTTTTGGTGTCTTGTTTTTTAAAGTGACATGGTGTTTGTAATGTTCAAGAAATTATTGTGCTTTCCAGAACATACGACACCTGTGAAGTACATCCAGGACCCAATCTGAACTTGATTGTAGGTGCTAATGGAACAGGAAAGTCAAGCATTGTTTGTGCCATCTGTCTGGGACTGGCTGGAAAGCCTTCTTTCATAGGTCGAGCTGATAAGGTAACTATGAATTTCTGTAATTTTCATGTTTTATCTGAATTTCATTAAGAGTCCTGTCCAGCAGAGGAGGGGGGGAAAGACTGTCTTCCTTCATTTGCTTTATTTTTACAAAAACGTGTTTAAATTGTGGAATAATCTGGTCCAGAGAGGTTTAGAAAGGCTTTTCCAAAGGGGTTTTGTTTTACTTAACTGTTTATTGTCCTGGCTGAATTACGAAGTGGAAACATCAGAATTGTACTAGGGCCCAAGTAAACTAGAAGTTATATTTGAAGATGTCTAAGTCTCCACAGTCGGGTATGAAAATGCCACCTACTGCATAAATGACATTTGATCCAAGATATTAACTAAATTAAAAAAAAATATAAATCTAACTTAAATTTCCAAGTAAATAGAACCTGTAGAAATAACGTATCGTTGACTTGTCTTAGAATTTATCTACAAGCACAGAGCTACTGATCTTTGATTTAAATGGAAGTTGATTGTTTTGAGTTGTTCTGCTATTATTTGAATTTTTTTTTTTCTCCCAAGAGATCGCGTGTTGACAGTACAGTAGGAAGCTTGTATTGTCAAATTTTTAAGTTTTGTTCTTGCTTTCTTGGCTGTTCTGGTTGGATGTAGTATATTTCAGTAGATCTTTGGAGCACCAAATCTGGGTACCTAAATATCTGTGGATATTCTGGTTGCAGCTTAGTGTTGAGCAAATGTAGATATGGAAATTGACTGTGTGGCAGCACTGTGTGTTGGCATTTTTATTGCCTTTTCGTATTTATAATTTTTAAACTATTAGAATGGGCAGTTCTATTAGTGCAGATATTTGGCAATTTCTTCATGTATATTCCTGTACTCTTTTCTCTCTGTGGATCTGCTGATTATAATTTGTTCAGTTTTAGAGGTTGAAATAGGTCAGAAATTGTTAACCTGTGAGGAAGATTTTAATTGTGAATTTTCAATAAAATATCCTACTACAGCAACTTGATTATACAAATACATATTTTTGTAAGAGATTACTTTGTAATACACTGTTCCTTTGCAATAATAACTTCTGTAATTAAATTTGTAGGTTGGTCTCTTTGTAAAGCAGGGATGCTTGAAAGGTGTAGTAGAAATTGAACTGTAAGTAGTAAAATTGCATTTCCTCATGTATTTTTAATGATATTATTTCCTCACATAGGCCTTTGCAAAGTTGTGAAAAAGAACCTGGTGTTCAGAGGTCTGTCTTTAAGTTGGTGATTTACTCTTTCTATTTTTTTTTTTTTTTTTTTTTTACGCAGGCTTCAGTATTTTAAGGTTAAATAATTACCACACAATAAATAAGCAGTGATGGCTGGTCTTATTTTTGCTTTGTAAAGCATCTTATCTTGTCTTGATATACAAAGAATATATTGCTAAAGATGAATATATATGGTGTGTTTAGCTTTTGCTTACATTTAAAGTTCAGATGATTCAGATGACGGAGTGATTAGAAATTATTTTTGAAGAGGAAAAACAAGGCAAAGTCTAAATTTTAAAAACAAATGTTCTGCCTTCTGTATACTATTACTGCTGGTATGTGGGACCCCTCTACATTCTTACTGAAAACATCACATACTGAAATAAAAGAAAAAATCCTTATTTTGATAAAAGAAATGAGTATGGCTTTCTAGGTCTTTTGAAGGAAGTCTGGAATATTAAAATAAGGTAGTAAACACTTACAAGGAAATAATCATAGAGTCTTCAAAAAGCAGGCTCATATCCCTGTGGTACTTATTCCAAACACTAGAAGCTGTTGAATTACTTCTACTTTGACCTCTATCCTGAAGTCTCCTGAGGTACATGGCTGCCAAACTGTTACAAGCCCTTATCCTCAATCTTTAGGAATATGCTAAACAGGCACTAGACGATTTCTAAGTCAAAGTAGTGGCCAAAATTCTCAAGAGTGGCTGTTTCACTGCTCATTTGTTATTGATGTATCTTAACTAGACTAGATTTTTGAAGATAAATGTTGAGCTAGAGAACTAAGTGTACAACTGATGCATGTTTGCTGTTCTTTAAAAGCAGAAAATGAAAACAAATTAGTATTTTTCATACTGTATGATACTCCTTTTCTTCTCAAATGGAAGCTATTGATATAGTTCTGTCCGCTAATATTTAAATGTATAGCATCAGTATGCACCTTCTTCATCCCAATATTAGAACTTCCTAAATGTCATATAAAAAAAAATACACTTTTACATAAACTATCCACATCGGTAACAACTTTGAAATGGTTTGTACATTTTTTTTTTTATGTAATTTATGTAAATAACTTCCTCTAAGTTGAGACTTGCAGATATTTTTGATGTTTTCTGTGTGAGATTAATTTACCACTGAAGAACTGGACATTTTCTGAGGCACAAAGTGCGAATCTGCTGCTATTGTCCAGTTAACTTATATTAAATATCTAGATATCTAAAAGTTTTAATATTTTAAGTCTGACATACTTTGACAGTTGGTAACCTTTGGGTATTCTCAAAAGTGTAAGCACTCCTTTTTATTAATCAGGTCTAAGTCACCTGAAAATATCATCATCACACGAGAGATTCAAGTGGTGAACAATGCATCAGCATGGTTTATCAACAAAAAGCCAACAACCTTGAAAACGGTAGAAGAGCAGATTGCAGCCTTAAACATCCAGGTGGACAATTTGTGCCAGTTTCTTCCCCAGGTATGAACGAATTCTGTAAGACACTGGGTGCAAATGGAGTGCTGTGTTTTGAGAAGGTTTTGGTGCTTCTTAGCTTTTGTAGCACTTCAGCAATTTTATGGAACAGCACAAAGAATGGAAGCGTTGCAGTAGACATACTGGTGTGATGGTGAAAGAAAGGAGAAACTATGTGACCTGTAAGGCTCACTAGTTGAGCAGGTTTTGTAACTGCTTTCTGTTGACGCTGAAAGGAAAGCTGCTGATATTTTCCATGTCAATGTTTGAGTATCAGCAGTAGCAGTGATACCTCTCTGTCCTGCTTGTGCGGCTCTAGGGATATTTTTAAGTAACTGATCTATAAGGAAATTTTTAAGATGTCTTGAGGTCTAGCACTGTCTTTGTACCTTTGCCTGCATGGTTCCTGTAGTTCTGTATCCCTGACTTTCCCAGTCAATCCCTGCTTGCACTTTTCTCTTGTTATCTCCACTTAGTTCCTCAGGCTTGGATTCTGAAGGGGAATAGTTGTCTGAATGTCTTTCTCCATAAACCTGAAAGCAGTCCTACTAGATGACTCTACAGTTGCAACAGAGGCTGCAGCAATGCTTCCTGGTACCCTTGGCTTCCAGCCTTAGTATTAACTTCTTCATGGTTTAACTTCCGTGTTAATCAGCATTCAAAGTGGGAAGGTGTAGCCTGAGAACCAATTTTAAGAATACAGTGGAGTAAAGCCTTCAATTGTCTGTACTGAATTGTCTTGTTCTGAAGAATGATAGCCAATTCAAAACTAACGAGCCAACCCACATCCTCCACAGCTACCCTCAAAAGCTGCCGAAGAGCCATGGTTCAAGCTTGAATCATTCCTAAACAGGTCCAAGAAATCTTACAAATGTTGAGGAGGTTTTGGTTGCTAGTCTGTAAGGGGATCATCTTAAGTCAGAGCTGTCTGGTATAGAACTATAAGTCAGATTATGTTCATAATTAAACAGCAGTATTTAAATCCGGTATTACTGTATTGCGCTATCTTAACTAATACCATATTTTGTTACATTTTTTTGTGTGTGTTTTTTTTTTTTGGGGGGGTGTGTTTTTTGTTTGTTTTTTGTTTGTTTGGTTTTGTTAGGACAGAGTTGGAGAATTTGCAAAACTGAGTAAGGTCGAGTTGCTTGAAGCCACTGAAAAATCCATCGGCCCTCCAGAAATGTACCAATTTCACTGTGAACTGAAAAACTTCAGAGAAAAGGAAAGAGAACTAGAGGTAAACATTAGACAGAGAACAGTGTAGGAAATTGGCATAATAAAATATAACAGGATGCCTTACGGAATTAGAAGGTAGTACTTATTTACAGAGTCTGTGGAAAGTTGATTTTGCCAAATCATGCTCATCTTTTCTCAGAATTCGTTCACACCAACACTCACATGCTCATAAGCATGAAGACACATTTGTGCAAGTGGTCTGGACACAGACGACAAGGAATGCCTGTTGTCAAGTACTTACCACTTCTCTGGAATTCTTGACTGGCAACAGCTTTTCTGGAACAGATCTTTTAGGCCTTTTCAGAATCACCAGCTCTTATACTGTGGTCCTATGCTTTAATCTTTCTGACTTCAAATTCCATAAATTATGGGCAAAATTGCTGCCTGTTACCTGGTTTTCCTAGTCTGGATTATTAGCAGATAAAGAGGAAAAGGGAGAATGAATGCAATGAGCTGCAACCTTGTTGCCATCCTGGTTATAGGATGTAGGCTCTTTCACTCACAGTTTCTGGTACTGTGATCTTACCAGAGTGCAGGCTTAATGGTCTTTGCAGAACTTGCATGTTCCTTGCTGTTACTGCTGGGAATGGTGTCTGTTGTTAGCCATACAGGCCATTCTTGTAGTCCTTTTGTTTTGCTGTTTCTTCTTGTGCTAGTGTGCACGCATGCTTATGCACTCATACGTATACATTCACATAACAGCCTTGATGTTTCTGTTATAAATCTCTGCAAGATCTTTCAAGAGCCTTTTTGCTACTTGTATTTATCAAAAACAGTTATGGTGCTTTAGAAACTTGTAGATTAATGGAGGCTGTAGGGAGTACCTTCCTGAGAAAATTAAAACCAAACAAATTCTTCAGATTAAATTTTCTGTTTAAATTAGATTTGTTTCACAGAAAGTGTGTGCTAAATGCACTTGTCAAAGTTGGGCAACTATTCCTAGTTGGGTTGCTCCTCTGATTGCTGCTTTACAAAAGCATTCTCTCTAGTGTTAAATTTTTGCTTTAATATACATGTGAGGTATGGACTATTTCTGAAAGGTGTTTCCACAAAGTAGATACTTTAAAGCATGAAAATGTATATTCTTACAGAACTTGTGCAGAGACAAAACTAACTCTTTGGAGAAGATGAAACAGAGGGTTGAACGATACAAACAGGATGTTGAGAGATACCATGAGCGCAAGCGCCATCTAGACTTAATTGAGATGCTTGAGAGGAAAAGACCTTGGGTGGTAAGTTTGTGGTTTTTGGTTTTTTTTTTTTTCTTTCCAGGGGTTTTCTTACCAGCTCATTTTTCCTAATACTGCAATATTGGAAATGTCAACATCGTTACAATTGCTTGGTGCAAACAGGCCAGGTCTTGAAATACTGTTCTTCGCCTAACTTTTATCGTGTGCTTGCATATGTAGCTAGACTTGAAGAAGTTGCTTAAAATGTAACTTAAGTACTTACTGCCTGTTTGCCCATTTAGGAGAGACAGCAATATGGGCCAAGGGCAGTATTCTTTTTACTCCTTGCAGACACAACTGTCTTAAGTGCAGTGTCTGGCCAGTTCCACTTGCTTCTTCCAGAATGCAGAAAATTTTTGTAGGGTATCTTGTTGCAATTTTACAGATAACGGAAGTCTCACATAGATGTATAAAAACTTTGTCCCTTGTATCTTGAAAAGCAACTGGATTCAGGGTGGGTACCTTCACTGTTTTCAAACCTCTGTGATAATGACGTGGGGATGTAGGAGCAGCAATAGGGATAGGTGAATGGTGGTAGGTGCTAAGGAGGTGGGCTGTGCACTCTGTGACTTTAGGGGTGGACTTCCACACTTGCTGAATGGTGTGGGGTTTTCCTACTACACGTGCATTAATTAACAAGAAGAGAGAGTTATTTTACTAGAAGAGATATGTCTTGTATATTTAATGTACGCTGATACTGATTGTTCTCTAGTGTAAGATACTTGCAGATATAAAACTCTGAATGCTGGTCTGAAACTGGTAGGGGTGAACTAAGTTATTTGCTCTCAGTTAAATTGCCTTCCATAAGTTCAAGAACAATGCTGTTAATTACATGTTTCTTAAATAAATTTAGACTTCCTCACACCTTACTCTTTCATGGCTGTCTTCTGGACAGTTTGCATTGCTGATGTATATTAAATGCTTTTGGTGGGTGCACTCAATTAGAAGAAATCTAATTTTTTGGCCGCTGAATCTGTAGAAACAATGGTGTCCTAACAAAAGTGACAAAACAAGTGTGTTTTTACACCTATGTGAAGATCCAAGTTGTAGTGCAGCATCAGTAGTGTATACCAGATTGTTTACCAGAAGTCACTTGCCTGTGGGTAATCTACAGTTGGAATCAATTGTCATCAGGATAATTGTTTTACTAGAAAGAGGATATTTGACCTGCAGGCTGCAACAAAAGTTCATGTTGCATTCTGATCTTCAGTGTACAAAATCATCGGTATTTTGTGTTTGTCGAATCCTTCTGATGGATCACTTGGAGTTCATATATATTGCAAAATACCAAGCTCTCTAATAGAAGTGCATTCTTTTGCAAAGGGATATTTCTTTGTCATGTGACCTAAGACTGTTTAATCCCAAGAAAAAATGTTTTTGGTGTCTTAAAATTGGATTCACCAAAGTTAAAGAGTAGCAAAAAAGTTTATTCTTTCTGTGCATCTTCCCTCTCCTGCATCCTCCCTGTAGGGTAGGTTTGTACTTGTAGACCAGACTTGCATAGCTGTTTAGAACTGCCTCTGTAACAAAACAGAATAGGTGGGTGAGCCTCTGAATCAGCCAAGAGACAGGTGCATGAACACTGAAGTATGTTATGAAATGGAGAAGAGGCAGCTTGAAAACCAGTGAGCTGAAATACAGCGTTAGGTTATCTCTTGATCATAGTGGAAAAGAGAAAGTCTAGTGCTGCACTTGTTTTACTATTTGACCACTGTAGAACTGTGTTTTTATTCTGAAGACTACTGTCCTTCACCTAAGGAGCACTTTTCTAGTCAAGTGTTTCTTCTAGTCAGTCCCACCTGCTTCTGTATATGGAGACTTACACATAATTTTACATATATCTAATAGGTTTTTGAGCATCTGCTTAAAATTCTATAAATTGGACCCTAGGGGTACAATGTTAAAGATTTGGACTCAAGGAGTTAAGGGATGTTTTATGCTTTGTGTGTACCTTAATGGAACTTCCATCAGAAGATAGTGTCATCTACAATTGGTGAGCAAATTTAAGGAGCTGCAGTTTTTCTAACACAGACAGACCTTTTGTAAGGCTTTAAAGAAAAGGTGTTTCTTTTCCTTCCAAGCTTCAGTTTAAGGTAGTACAGTATACCATAAGGTATGTTGTTTAAAGTCTAGTGAAAGTCAGGTTTTCTTAAAGTGTTAAAGGGATTTGCTGTATAAAAACCATGTCACTTCAATTTCTAGAGAAACTTGCCTGTACTTTGTATCTGAAGAAATGAGTGTAATTGTATGTGTGTGTATTTGCTTTGACCTTGAAATATAATACCTTATTTAGAGCAGAGCTAGATTTTAAGCTTATTTTATCAGCTAAATGAAAGTATAATTGCTTTGCCTCTAACTTTGTAATGGTGGCTACTGATTGTACTCCACATAACAGAATTGCAGCAGCTTACTTCAAGTACTACAGTATTTTTATTCAAAAGATACTATGGAGAAGGAATTTGGATCTAAAGCCCAAGTTCATTTATTTGTGATTAATTGTGTGTGTTTACAAATAAGGTCATTAAATAACTAACTGAGAAAAAATGGTAGCAGATGAAGCAGTTAGCCGTTACAGATAGAGCTGGCACACTATCTTTATTTATTATCTTTTCAGTGCTCCGAAGCTTGGAATAATCAAGGCATGTGCTCTAAGCTAGGGGCTTTCTCTAGTGCTTTGCCAAATCCAACAGCCTTCCCTTTCTCTGTACATTCATGTATTTGCTTCTTCTCCCTCTGGTCCTCTAAGTATCTTTATTTCTCATGAATTCTTAACGGTCATGTAGTGTTGTGTTCTTTTCTTTTTTGGTTGGTTGGTTTCAATTTTTTTAGTGGGGTTTTTTTGGTTAGTTGGTTGCTTCTTTGTTTGTTTTTGTTTTGTTTTTGATTTCTTCCCCCAGAGATCATAACACCAAAAAAAATCATGAGTAATGACTCCTTTAGCCTAAACTACTTTTTTCCCCCAAATTCTCACTACTTTCAGATGGAGGTTCTTAGGAATGCATCTCCAGTTTAACTCCCTAGATAGTGACTTTTCTGGTATTTGTGGTATATGGTGGAGTTTTAGTTTTGTTTCCCAAAGTTTTGTTCCACTCTGTCTGTCTCCTCAGTTTACTTCAGAGCAATACCTGTTACTGGCTCTTACAGATCTGTCCAGCCCCTTCTTTTTCTTTTTCCTGAAATTCTCTGTGGTTATTTGCTCCCTAGCTTGAGGACTTCTGCCTAAGTAGTGCTCAAACTATGGATAGAAGGGGCTAAGGGATTACGTTTACCACACGATCCCAGATGGATTTAGAAGCAAGGTAATTGCAGACAAATTGGTCATTTCTTCTCTTGAATTGCGTATTACTGAAGAACCGTTAAATGTGTGTGCTTGTTTACTGAGGACTGAATGATCCCTGCATCTCCTAGTCGTAAGACTAGTAACAGAAGGATTTCTTAAGAAGTTGCTCTAATACTAGCTTCTGAATGAGATTTTTCTTCTAAAACTCATGTACAATTGAATAAAATGTTAGAGCACAGAGGACAAAAGTGTGTAATTATTTTACTTTCAACTCCTCCAAGGAATATGAAAATGTTCGTCAACAGCATGAGGAACTGAAACAAATCCGAGAACAAGCCAAGGAAGAACTGAAGAATCTAAAAGAACTGCAGTCCCCAGTGACAAAAAAAATCCAAGAAAATGAAGACTCTTTTAAGAGTCTGGATATGAAAATAAAAGATAAGGTAGGTATTTCAAGTCTTCAGTTAACATGTAATATTTCAGATGTTCTGTGTTCAGTTTTTAAAATAAAGCTATAATCTCTTTCTTTTTAGTGTGTCATAATGATAGAATCAACTAGGTTGAAACAGACCTTTCAGATCAAGTCCAGCTGTTATCCCAGCACTGCCAAGGCCACCGCTAAACCATGTCACTAAGGGCCTCATCTTCATGGTTTTTGAATGCTTCCAGGGATGGCGACTCCACCACTCCTCTGGGCAGCCTGTTCCAATGCCTGATCATCCTCTCAGTGAATAAATTTTTCCTAATATCCAGTCTGAACCTCCAGAGGCGCAGCTTGAGGCTGTTATTTCTTTAATGGCATTTGGACTGAGTATACTGTGCAGTGCGATTCTTTTAACAGTATTTGACAGTATAAAGCATTGTATTGTGGTTGTAACTTGAAAACCATAATTACAGTTGTTAATCTGTTCTGTAAGGGTGGTATAGATAAATATAATTGAAAATGTAATGATAATTTTAAAATTGATTTCCACTTCCTACCAGTGTCCTGATTTTGAGGGCCTTCAGGATTGTTTTCTGAATATTTCATGTCAGTTTCCCGAGAAAAAGCTTTCTCTTCAGAGTGTCTGCTTGAGGTCTTTGGAAATAGCAGCACAGAATCAGTACTGCTTAGCGTTCAACTGCAAGACCAAGATGTATTGTTCTGTGTTGCCTTCGTGCAAACAGCTGTAGAGAGGGTCTTAATTTTTTGTGCATCTTTCAGGTTATGGGAGGAAAAAGATCATTCCAAATTCTCCGTTCTTGATGCATCCTAGCAATTTCAGTATGACTCAGTTTGTAGAAAGACATTTCTTCCAGCAAGAATGCTCTGTGTGTTTCTTTCCATGTCTGCACTGGCGTTTGCTTACAGTCCTTCCATTCTTTTGCAGTGTTCTAGTATTATGCTTGCACTGTTTTCAGCCTTGAGGGATCAGGGAAGGAGGAATTAAGTTCATAGAGAAAGCATAGTACACTTCCACCGTGTTCAGGGCTCAGCTGTACAAGTGCCTGGGCAACCTGACAGAAGACCGCTTAGAGCAAGAGACGGGACTGGGTGATGCTCAGGAGTCCCTTCTGACTTTTTGGAAGCTGAGAAGGGTAGAGAAAGCATAGAAACATGGGTGCCTAGGTGTGATCCAACAAGTTGTCAGGCTTAGCGGCGTAGGATATCTTTAGCACAAGGCACTTCAGAGCTAGGATGGTTTGACAAATTGTTTTGACTGTCCTGTGCCTCAGAACTTGTGCCTTTTTTGCTATGCTCTTTCTTGGTAAAGCTGGTTTTGGAAAAAGAACATTTTGTAAGTCATGATCTAAATGTATCATTTTTATTGAATTTGAGAATGGAATTATTTTAATTTCAGGTTAGATTAGCAGACTTCCTGTATCTGTCATACCTGAATTTGCAGATCTGTAGTTGAATGGTTGTGAACGGTTCATGAGCCGTTATTCAGTTTGTCACATTATAGATACAAGTAAGAATAATAAGATACTGGAGAGTATGACTTTGTCAGGAATGAAATGTGGAATAAATGCTTAGTTATGCATATACAGAATGTCCTTTAAAAAATGACTGCTTTTCACAGATATAACTGAATCTATGGCTATCTAATTTAATATCTCATTGTATGCAGGCTGCTGAAATCAAAGATATTTCTCAAAAATGTAAACAGAAGCAAGATGCTTTGGACATGAAAGATAAACAAGTAAGAGTCTTCGTATTTTTACTTTTTTGGTGTTTCTTTACTAATACATTAATTCAGTACTAATTATAGCTGCATTCAGATGGTATGCTACTTCTTAAATTCTTCAATAAAACACAGATATGTGAGGAGTTTGTCCACTCTTCTGTTAGCAGAGAGGGAAATCCCTCCAAACAGGCTGCAAGTGCTTGTGCGCTTCACTGCCTCCAGTACACAATGAATCTTTAAAACAACTATTAGTCAAATAGGTATGGGACAGGTGTATGCTGCTTAAAATGAGTTGCCTTGATGCCATAAACTTAGGATTGACAGTGTGTGTAGGTATACTATGTCTTAGAGAGATATATATACATACATATATATATGTATGTGTGTGTGTGCGTGCGTGTGTGTGTGTATATATATATATATATATATGTAGGTTTCCTTGAAATCCCACAGCCCTTATAGTACAGTAATGTACTCAGCATTAAACATGGTTTCAAATGTTCTAAGATGCTGGGGTTATTGCTTCTGTTAAGTGTGTAAGTCCAGCATTTTTGAAAAAGAAAATGCAATGGTATGTTGTGAAACAGTTACAGAACTTCTGAGCACTCAGTCAAAACCCATATAAATTAAATGTATACAGGTGCAGAGTCATGCTGCACACTGTGTTTGTACTGTAAGTTTTATGCAGTCTTAAACTAACTTTCAAGTGTGTTTAAGAAAGATCTTGAGCTTTAAGCTTCTGCTCTTGTAAAAATACAAGAACTTCAAAAATTGCTTTAAAGGCTTGATTGTTTTTTGCTTAAGTGTTCTTAACAAATTTTGTCAGTTCTTCAGCTGTCAGGGGCTGTTAGAACTATAATAGACTCTTAACAGTTTTAGTGCATGCATCAGGTTTTAATACCAGTTGCACAGACATCTGACAGATACCTTAAACCATGACAGTTATTTGTCACAGCTTTTGTGTACTAAACTTCTTTAATGTTGGAAATACTCAAAATTCTTAGATTGAAGAAATTCATCAATGTTTGAGGATGAAAAAAGATGAAGAAATGGACAGACAGAAGAAAATACAGAACACTCACAAGATGATAGAGGACTGGAAGAATGAGCTCAATACAATGGCAGGCTGTGAGAATCTTCAGCCACAAATTGATGCAATTAATAATGACCTGAAAAAATTACAAGAAGAAAGAGCAATTGTTGATAGTGATATCAGTGACCTAACAGCAGATAAAATGAACCAGGAGAGGGAAAAGAAAAGTAAGTTACTTGGAATTTTTGTTGATTTTTTTTTTTTTTCCTTTTATTTTTTAGATTTTTTTAATTATGACTGTACAGAATCTACTTGTCCTGCTGTAGTGAAATATTTTGGGGCATTTGCCTCAAGTACAGCTGACCTCTTGTCTGTTATCAATTTTATTAAAAGTAACAGAAACTGCTTTAAAAATAGAAAGAATAAGATGATGGCAGTTGTGGCAATTGACCTTAAAACTACCTTCTGAACATTAGTTCCTTTTGATCTCTGGGTAATGATACTGATTTGCCAGTTTGATCTTTTTTCTATTGTTAAATAAAGGTGTATATGGTTAGTACAAAAAAAAAAATAAAAGTATTCCCAAACCTGAAGTAAAAAGCAGTTTGCTTTGAAGATGCAGTGTTTAAAATTGTCTCTCTGGCATTCTAGTAGCTACTGATGCTGCTTTTGTCCTTTCTGTGTTGACTTGAACTAACCTTAATTGTAGCAAATGCCTTTATACTAACCTAGGATTTGCCATCAGTTATTTCTAAGGAACAAAATCTAAAAATTATAGCCTGGCAGGTAGGCAGTGTTGTATATATTCTTGGTGAGTGTGATACATTTGCACATACTGATCTGTATGGCACTTAAGGTCATAGAATCCAAGTAGAACCTGAGGCACAAAGTCACCAAGGGAAGGAGACACTATGTATTTTACCTTGAGAAGCACAGAAAGTATCCGGTATGTGTTTCTCCTGAATAGCAAATGCTTTTGCATGCATTCTGTTGTCACACATCTTGTTCTCTGCAAGTATCAAATAACATTCAGAGATTTCACGTTGCTAGTCCCTCTACCTCTTTAGTCTTGAGGCATTTCTTGGTTTACGTACAAAGCTAGGACAAGTTTTTAGGAGAGATTTTTAGGACTAAATTCATGTGTTTTTAGTGTGCTACCACATTTCATTATCTTTCAGGTAAGTCTTTATTTTAGATTTTAAGCTTTAAATAATTCTTAAGATTTCTTTAGAATAAGCGGAAACTTGATTGTGGGAAAAGAAACTCTTTAATTCTTAGAATCTCATAACCACCTTACTGCTGGAGTAACATAGTCAATAAATACTGGAAGATGCCAATTAGAACGTGTATTTGCTGTGGACTCTGTTTAAGAACCTACCTTAAATTACAGGAATAATTGATCGCCTTGGACAACTTAATAATGTAATGAATATGAAGGAAGAGAATCTTAAAGGGAAATTCAGAGACACACACTCTGCTCTTGTGTGGTTAAGAGAGAACAAAGACAAGTTTCAAAGAAGAGTTTGTGAACCCATGATGCTTGAAGTAAGAAACCTTATTTGCATATCACTTTAACCAGTTATTGTTTAGTTTATTTATGCCTTGCAAGACTTCGAGAATGACTTCAAGATTTTCAAGACACATCTTGAAATGAGCTGCTGATTACATGCAGGATACATTCACATGGTGAACTATTTGTAATTTTAGTTCCATAGGCAATGTAGTAATGCTCAACATTGAGTTATATGGGGTGATTCCTTCCCCCTTCTTCCCCAAGGAGCAGTCCTTTATTAAGGTGCCTATTGCAGATTTCCACTAAGGTGCATCCAAGTATTTAGACTTAAGTAGTCCCTATTTACTGCTTAAAAAAGCAGAGGTAGTTACAATTTAGTATTTCCCCCTATAACCTTCTCAGCAATGGTTACAACATGTCACTGTGGTTCTCGGCTGTGTTTGTGGTTTGCTTTCACAGCCAGCTACAGGAACAGAAATACCTGACCTGTTGCTAGTTTTGTGTTTTGGTTCGACAGACACAGTAGTAGCTAGGAATAGCGTTGCTAAATTTTCAGAGACACTATTGGTTTTCTAGTGCATTCTTCCACCATTATCTGAGCCTCTTGCAGTATGTGCTCCATGCAATGTGAAGAGGATGAGGAACTCCAGCACACTCTTCTTCCTCAGAATTGCAAGTTTATTTTAATAGTATATTGCTACAGTTTAAATGAAATTTAATGTTGAATATTTGTATGCCAATTCTTATACTTTGTGCATGTGCTAGAACTATTCAAGATTACTTTTCTTCGTTATAAAATACCAAATATTTCCTGTTACTACCAGAATTTCCAATTCTTCCTGGAAGATGACATTGAATTAATTTTACAAATGCCTTGGTAGGCTGCCTTTGCTTTTACCTTAAGGCCATGTTAACCTCTGTGCTTTTGTTTGAGATGTTGTAAGTTAGTCTCTGGTATATACAAACTGTGGCTTTAAAATTGCCAGTAAGTGTATATAGCCTTTGGCTAACTTCAGCTTATTAAATTGTGTAGTTCTGTGTAATTTTGCCTTTGTATGTCATGTATAGTGACATAATGTCTAATTACTAATGAGAGTTACTGAAGAATTCTAACATTAACATTTAATTCAGATGTGAAAAGCTTTATTCATCTTAAATGTGGATTTATCTTTTTTTTTTTTTATTTATTAAGAATTCAAAGATACTCAATCAATCTGTGAGTCTGTCTTTCTATGGCTTCATAATTCTGTATTTGTTTTTGGTGATGTTCACCATGTCCCAATCAAAGGGAACTGCATATAATAAGTAATTTGTGGAGTGTGGCATTTTCTGGGGTTTTTTTTTGATTCTTTAGGTTAATTGTTTCTAAACAGTGAGATATGTTTAGTGGTGCTGGTGCAGAACCACTAGACATGAGGTGATTGTGGCTGCAAGTGTAAACTAGGGTGGAGCAGAAGAGGGAGAGGTGGTATGCTGGAGACAGTGATAGCTCCATGAATGCTGAGAAAGTATATGGATGGCTAAAAAATAAACACAGTGATATATGAGTTACTGTAGGTTTCCTCCCAGTAGAGTTGGTTGCAAAAGGACAGGGCATATGTCTTTTAAAAACATTTAAACATTGTGTTTGTTTTTGTTAAACATAGGCTTGGATATCATCTCACTGCTTCAACTGTTTTGAGGGGGGTGTTAAGTCCAGTTTTATTAAGTCACTTTCTTATTAACTTTCTTTAACAGATCAATATGAAAGACAACAGACATGCTAAATATGTTGAAAATCATATTTCGGCCAATGACATGAGGGCTTTTGTTTTTGAGAGTCAAGAAGATATGGAAATGTTTCTTGTGGAGGCAAGTAGGCACCAATTTTAAAAATTGATTAAGTACTGATGCAGGAGCCCTAAGCTTTGGAGTCTAACAATTAAGTCTGTATTTATTAAGTTTTGATTGGCAAGATGAGCATAATAGCTAATACAAACTATTCAAAAGTTTTCTTCTGGAGTAAGATTTCTTTTTTGCATTTATTTATTTATTTATTTATTTATTTATTTAAAGCCTAGACCAACTGTGGGGAAGCAGGAATATTAAGAAAATATTTTTAGAAATAACTTCTGTCTTCCTTGACAAGGCAATAATCACTTCTGTACAAGAAAATGACAAAAGCAGAAAGATACAAATTTAGTACCAAGCTTTTCCAATGCCTCCTGAGCTGGGAGGTGAGAGGACGTCTTTTGTGAGACTGCAATGGTCCAAGCAGCAAATCAAGCTTATATTTTCTTAATACTGCTGTTTCTTGGAGTGGTAAAGAGCTAGTTCTCTTTGAGAGCCAGACAGATGATGCAGAAGAAAAAAGCCAGAAGACACAGTATTGGCAGTCATATTGCTTCCCAGCAACTGCCCACAGTATAGTGTGATTAATGACAAACTGTCATGCAATTCTTGAAGAGTTATCTGCCCTTCACAGAAGCTAGGCATTTTTATATATGTGAACAGTAGTAGCGATATCTGGGGGCTTGCCTTGCCTCCATGGTTGTGGAACCCAGTGCAAGGCTGCTTCAGGCAGCTAAGCTGGTCTTTTTGCATCCTCAGTCTTTTCTGCCCTGTGAGGACCAGGATTTTCAGAGCCTCTATAGCCAGTGGTCTGCCATTATTTCTGCAAAATGGCTGTACAGCCTGAAAGAGGGGGCTCCCTTATTACATACAGCTTGACATTTAGATTGAGCACCTGGCTCTGGATTTGTTTGATTGCTTTTGTTTTCTCTTATGCGTGGTATGTTCATGGAGAAATGTTAACTGAACTTGACTTTTAGAGAACTCAGCCATGCCTGCATGAGAGTGAATTTTTGTGAGCTCTTCAACAGGTGGTCAGTTTAAAATAATTCCAATTCTGTGAATCAAGAAACAATACTTGATTTTCATATAGTGATTTTTTTTTTCTGGTCTGTTTTACCAAATAATTAATGTAATCTATATTTAGATGCGTGATCATCAGAAACTAAGAGTGAATGCTGTATGTGCACCTGCTGAATCATGTGCTGAAAAGTTACCTTCGAGACCTATTGAAGAGTTACAGTATGTATCAGGCTGTATCAGTGGGGAATGGTCTTAAATACAGTGTTTTGGGGTTGTTGCTATAAGTTAGAATTGTCTATGCTAATAAATTTTTCACCAGTTCAATTCTGGGTTCGCGGGACATCTTTCTGATCCTTCAGTAACTTCAGCTTACTTATCTGCCAGCTCTTGTTTCTGATGTATGTTGGGTTTTTTTCTCCCTTTCAGCCGATACGGATTTTTCTCATATTTACGAGAGTTATTTGATGCTCCTCATCCTGTGATGAGTTATCTTTGCTCCCAGTACCATGTTCATGATGTCCCTGTGGGAACAGAGAAGACCAGAAGCATGATTGACAGGGTGAGATGTCCTAATTAGCACAAACACACCTGTGGTCTAAAGTTTTATTTTGAAAATTCTCTCGCAAATTAATGTGGAGAAAGCAGAAAATTGCTTTAGCGTTTTATCTGGCCTTTAGAGGTGAGAACAGTTCATTACACACAAACATTGCAAGACATTTTTAACAAATCCAGTCAATCTAATGCAGTACTTCATAGAAAGTTAAATATATCTTTTATTTGCATACTGTTCCAAGTCAGTTATGTGAACTTGTTTTATTATAACTTCTACTTTAAGTGCTTGAGATTCTGGGTAAATTTTAATCCAACAGTTAATAGTACCTGACAATTCTGACCTGTTGTGTTTAACAGAACAATTAGAAGCTGCTGCTGTTTTTTTTTTTTTCTTTGGTTTTTTTTTTTCTTTGTTTTTTTTTGTTGTTAATGCATTAAGATGTTCCATTTCTGGCAAATACAGTTGTATAGCTTCAGTCAGAATTGGTGTAATAAGAAGTATATAAACCTTCAGGATTCATAGAAAATAGGGTAAGAGCTCTCACTGGGAGCAATCTGTACATTAGTCTTTTATGGATTATTGCAAGCTTGTCACTGCTGGATTATAACGGGTAACACACATGAGAGTTTTCAGCTTAAATCCTTATTTACTTCTTTGTCTATGCTGGGCATCTGTTGTCTATCTTGTACTGACAGTGAACTCTTCTTTGAATACAGAAATGCTTTGGGCTGTCTGAGAACAGTAAGAGTTGCTTTTTGAGAAACTCTGAGAACAGGCTTTATGAACAGAGAACAGTTCCTGTTTTACTGGGAAAGCTGTTCCTCCTTCCTGTCTGCTATGTTTCTGAGGCTCTAAGAATGAGAAAGAGGAAAGTAAAAGTAAAAGGAGTCCTACATGAAAAGCTCTTCTCTTAATATTTTTTTTTCCTAAGCATTTTTGTCTTTAAACTGCAGTTCCTCCAACAATTGTGTTTATCACCTGATAAAGCAGGTTACCTGTATACCAGGTCTTTGAGTTACATTTTGTAAGCCAGTTAGTTACTCCTTAGATACTCGCTCTTTTCCAGAGCATTGTGGGCAACATGTGAAAAATCACTGGTCTAGAGGCAAAGATGAGCCCATTCTGAATGTGTTATACGTAGCACATTATCAGTTCAGTTGTGTAAAGTTTTTACTTCATTGTTATTGTTTTTGATTGTGTTGTGGTTTAAGCCCAGCTGGTAACTCAGAACCACGCAGCCGGTCATTCACTCCCCCCACTTTTTTCTCCCCCCCCGCTCACGGAGGGATGGGGAGGAGAATTGAAAGAATGTAAATCCCACGGGTTGAGATAAGAGCAGTCCAATAACTAAGGTATAATACAAAACCACTGCTGCTACCACCAATGATAATAATGATAAGGGAAATAACAAGGGGAGAGGACACAACCGCTCACCACCCGCCGACCGATACCCAGCCCGACCCGAGCAGCGATCTGGGCCTTCCAGGTGACTCCCCCCAGTTTCTATACTGGGCATGACGTGCTGTGGTATGGAATACCCCTTTGGCCAGTTTGGGTCAGGTGTCCTGTCTCTGCTTCCTCCCGGCTTCTCCTCCTCCCTGGCAGAGCATGAGACTGAAAAGTCCTTAATTGGGGTAAACATTACTTAGCAACAGCTAAAAACATCGGTGTGTTATCAGCACTGTTTTCAGACAGAAGTTGAAAACACAGCACTGCACCAGCTACTAGGAAGGAGAAAAATGACTGCTACAGCTGAACCCAGGACAGATTGAGAAGTAATCGTTCGCAGCATTTTGTTTCACACATGCCAGAAGAGGCTTTCGTTTAAAAGGAGACCTGTTACCTAAAGCTGAGCATGTGGAAAAAGGACTAGGATGGAAATGTTGTCAACCACAATCTGAGCTTTAAGGCAAAGTGTACATGGTTTTTAGTGTCCCGAAACCGAATCAACAGAATATAGCTGGTGCTGTGTCTATAAACTGCAAAAAGATACTTTGTGAAATTTCCATTGTAAGGTTTTTTGATGTTCCTGGTGTACCGGCCACTTTATGTCCTTTTGAAGTACTATACTACCTTATGTTACAGTAACTCTTTGATTATTTGTATTACCCTTTTTGACACGGGTAATTTAAAAATATTAACTCTAGTATTTTATACCTCTTTTTCTTGAGATACACTTGCTTTACTAAAGTAAATGTGTTAGAGTCCACCTTATGGTTTCATCTATTAATTTCTTAAGTACTTTTCTTAAGTACTTCTTTTCTACACACACTACATTTGCATGTTATACATCTTCAGCAAGTACAGTCCTTTTTTATGATGTAGTACAAGTACTAACAATTTTTTCCAGTGTCAGTCTGTAATATCAGAATAATCAGAATCTGTTTAATTGGTTTTGATAATATACTCTGTTTTACAGCATCTTAACAGTTCTTTGCTGACCAGTCTGGATTCAAATTAACATGATGCATTAAACTTAGCATCATTTTTTTGCAAAGGCTTGCTAACTCAGAGTCTTGATGACTTGAAGTTCTTTACTGTGGATTTTAGTTTTGTATTATACCTGTAGTTTATTTCTTGTCCTCGAAAAGCATTGCCACAACTAACGCTTTTGACAGATTAATATTTCTCTATGCTTCTTTCAGGTCATACAAGAAACCAAACTTAGGCAGATATACACAGCAGAAGAAAAGTATGTTGTTAAAGTATCTGCTTATACAAACCTACCCGTCTCTACCAATACATTCGTGAGGGCGGCACAGTTTCTCACTAGTTCAGTGGATACAGATGAAAGAAGACAGTTGGAAAAGCAGCTACAGGTAGGAATTTATTTCTGTGCTGTACGTGATGTGAAATACTACCCATTTTATTGTACAGTAAGCGTAATTTGCTTGAACGTCTTAATATGGTATGTTGGTAGTAAGAATGCTAGTGGTGTGTGTTCTTATATTTCAGGATATCAATAATGCATTAAAGTCACTGGATATGCGTTTGACTACATCATTGGGGAGACAGAAGCATCTGGAACGCAAAGACAATGAGCTCAGGCAGCAGAAGAAGGAAGTCCTAGAGAAAGGAAACAGGAGGAGACAGCTGGAATCAAAAATTAGTGTGAAGTATGATAGGTAAGAAACAAGCCATATTATCTGTGAAACATTAACAATTTTAATAACAAAGGTATTTGGCTTCCCCTTAATGCAGTGTGCTTTTATCCATACAAAGAAACCAGTAGTTCAGCATCAGATATAGGTGATAATCAAGACAAAAAGGGTGTTTAGAAGCGGAGACTAAGATGGTATTTGAGAAACCATGTAACAATGTTCCAAATGGTTTCCTGTAATAAAATCATAGGAGTCCAGTAAAAGAGCATTTACACAAATATTGCCATAGTCTTGGTGACACATATCTAGATAATACTATAATGTATAAATAATGTATAAATGACAAATGATAATAAGTAAGCATGTCAGAGATTTGAGTTGGACCCTGACTGTCCACAGTATTTGTCTTAACATATTTTCTGGTTTTATGGGCCTCTGCAATTAGTTCTTCTGTTGCTATTCTGTCATAAAGGAGAACCTGTGCATGGTTCTAGATGTATTCCACTTAAGCTTACACTCGCAGAAGGCAGTGAAGATGAGATTGCTCCAGGTTTCACTACCTCCGCTCCTTAATACAGGCCCAGCAGACCTTGTACCCTCAAATACTCTGTATGTTCTTATGCCACACTATTTTTCTGGAAGTTGGTGCTGGTGCTTGTGTGCCCAGCTCTTGCATTACCTACAGTGAATTAAACTGAAATGGGGAGGGATGGGGGGAAGAAAAGAAGGGCTTTTCTTCCCTAAAGAGGGACCAGAATCAGCTGCTGTATAGTCAGCAGTGTGAAAAAAAAAATCTTGAAACAGTATGAATGTGAGTGCAGCTGCAAAGCCAAGTTCTGCTGTCAGGTTTCTTACTAGGGATACATGTATTGTCATGATGTTTTACTAGAATATGGAATATGGTTTGAAGGCAGGAGATGGACCCTTAACCTAAACAAATAGAGGTTAAATCCTTCCCTTTGAAAAGAATAATTGCACTCTTTTAATTTTGAATCAGGGTAAGAATCCTGCCACAATTACAGACAAGGTTGTTCTGAGTTTTCTTCTATAATGTGGATGGTTTTCTGTAGAGATAGAAATTATTTAAATAATCCATACACTGAGCATAACTATTTTGAAATATTTATAATTGATATGATATCTGAATAAAGCAGGATATAATTTTGAAAGTAATACACAATGACAGAATCACTTAGGTTGGAAGGGACTTCATGTAGTCTGTAGTCTCAAAGCAGTGCAACATTAAATTCAGACCAGGTTTTCAGGGCTGTATCTGACTGCATCTTGAAAGTCTCTGTGGAGATCGTACAGCCCGTTTGGACATCCTGATTGATAGCTTGGTTGTCCTTATCGAGAAGAAGTTTCTGCTGGCATTGTCTGGATTTTTCTTATTTCATTTTATGTCTACTGTCTGCTATCCTTCCACTACACACCTCTTATAAGAGCCTGGTTCCATCCTGTCACTGGCTTCCTTGTGGGAAGGATAGTGGGGGGCTGCTGTTAGGTGTCCGAAAGCTGTCTCTTGTCCGGGGAGAACAAGCTGAGTGTTCTCATCCTGTCCTTGCAGGGCATGTGCTATAGCCCTTGACAATCTATGCTGACTGCTTTCCAAGTTTGTTCCAGTTGGTTGCAGTTTGAGGCAGGGGGATAAACTGGGTACAGTACTGGACAGAGAATAAACATCGCTCTTCTCCTGCCTGTGCTTCCGTTCATACAGTCAAGGATGCTGGAGTACCTGGCTACTGCCAAGGTACACTCCTGGCTTATGCTCAGTTCACTGGCTTACCAACACCTCAAGTGCTTCCCTGCAGAGCTTCTCCGCTGCAGTCTGTCCTGAGCCTGTATCACTGCCAGACCCACTTTCTTCCCAGGGGCAGGACTCAGTGTTTGTCCTTGCTGAATTTCATGGGCCTTTGGTGAACCCCCTTACTCCAGCCTCAGCAGGCCCCTCTGATAGGCAGGCCTACTGCTCCCCCCAGTTTAGTGTTGTCTGAAAACTTGATGAGAATGCCCTCTGCGGCTTTTTCATCTCTGTCAGTGATGTTAACCAGGACAGGTCCCAGGACTTAATGCTGTGTTATTCCACTTGATGCTGGTCTCCAGACGGAATGTAACAGACTAACCATGACCCTCTGAGACTGACCATCCAACTACTTTTTCTTCCTTTTCTTTTTTTTCTTTTTTTTTTTTTTTTTTTTTTAATAGTCTTCCATCCACCCAGACTGGATTTTTCCAATTTGAACACAACACTATTGTCGGAGATAGCATTGAAAAGTTAGTGGAATGAGTCTGGATCCAGCAGCCTGAGAGGAAAGTGGATCTGAGGCCACTTAATGCTCCCAGGTGCCACCACTCCTGAGTCTCTGCAGTAGACACATTCACACAAAGCACATCTAAACAGCAGCTATGTACATACTTACACATGGCCAGCCACCCAGCACAGATGGACTCAGAAAGAAATTGGATAAACACAGCACCAGTGGCCTCATCATGTTCCTACCCTTTCTGAACAAGACGGGAATCCCCTTACTGAGGCTCCCACGCATACATATGTGCAGCGCAGATCCCATCAGCAGCTGGGTCTGGTCACACTGAATCTGCACAGCAGCTGTCTCTGGACCTCAGTTTCCCCAGTTTCTGGTACCTGGACATGCAAACCCCCAAGGCTGCAGCCCTCTTCCTGTTGGTTGTATCAGCTGCCTCACTCACCCATGTGCACACACGTGCAGAACTGGTTGAGACTCCCTGGTTTCCCAGAAGCCAACTCCCTGGTCACATAGGCATACAAATGAGCAGACATAGCCATGGCTCCCTTTATGTCCCCCAATAGCCAGTACCCCTGTCGTCTTACTCTTAAATACATATGCATGCCAGCAGGTCTCACCTCTAGAGACAATAGATCTCATGGTCTCTGGCAACCAGGCTGGACTTCCTTGCTCCCTCCAATAGCCATTTCTTCTTGGGGCCTCACCCTTTGGCTCCCAGTCTACTTCACCTAATAGCTAGTCTGGCTTGCTCTTTTCAGTAGGCATCAGACATTCACTTGCACATTTGCACTTGTACCAGGTGCAGGCACCATGGACACATGGACCTCTGACCTGTGGTCCTACTGCAGCGGCTGTTGCTGGTGTTTCCAGTTACTGGCATCACAGACAGGCAAGCCTTCTCCTCTGACTTATGATCTGACTGTAGTTGCTTGCACACTGAATAGAGAGCCACTCACCCAGAACAAGAGTGAGAAATGCAATTAAATAAGAGAATGTGCTAATGGGGATGGCTGGACCAGCCAACTATTTTACATGGTTTTCTGCTATATTCCATAATGTCTCCTATACCCCAGGAAACAACCCCCGTCAGGCCAGAGAGTGCTGTGATGTTGACTTTCCTTGTTGGGTTTCACACCTTAACACTGGGGCTGAGGCTGTCCTGGGACAGGGTGTTCCCCTTTCCAAGTCCTTAATTTGTATTCCTTCTGATAAGGTGCCCCTGTGCTCCTCTGAGCTTACTGAGATGGGCCACTGGCCCCTCTCCCCCTTCCCTGCTCCTGGAGGGATGGGGAAGAGAATCAAAAGATTGGAAACCCCATGGCTTGAGATAAGAGCAGTCCAGTAACTAAGGTATAATACAAAACCACGGCTGCTACCACCAGTGATAATAATGATAAGGGAAATAACAAGGGGAGAGGATATAAAACTAAAAGGGGAAAAGGAAAAGAAAACAATAAATGCAAGTGATGCACAATACAGTTACTCACCACCTGCCAACTCATACCCAGGCTGACCCTAGCAGCGATCTGGGTCTTCTGGGTAACTGCCTCCAGTTTCTATACTGGGCATGATGTGCTGTGTTATGGAATACCCCTTTGGCTAGTTTGGGTCAGGTGTCCTGTCTCTGCTTCTTCCCAGCTTCTTGTGCCCCTCCTCACTGGCAGAGCATGAGATCAGAAAGCCCTAATGGGTAAGCGCTACTGAGCAACAGCTAGAGCAGTGTCATCAGTATTGTTCTCAGACTAAAGCCAAAACACAGCACTGCACCAGCTACTACAGAGAAAAGCAACTGTTACAGCTGAACATAGGACAGAATTTCATAGGCTGATGGCTCCTGTGATACACTTGGGGGTAACCAGGGTAGGGTTTTATTTGGGCTTCCGTACCTTCTATTGTCTGTTTCTCCTTTTTGGGTATGCAGGTGAGCTTTTATCAGATAACCTAACAGAAAGCCTTGGTAAAGCTGAAGTAAATGGCAACCACTTGATCTGTCGTTATCTGGTGGTTTTACAATTGCATTCATTAGGTATGATGATTACCTGTGGTAAATGCTTGGTATTTCTTCCTGATCACCTCCCTTATGCCCCTACAATTGTTTTCCAAGGAGATCAAAGTAAAAATGATTAGTTTGTAGTTTCCTGGATCATCCTCTTGATCTGTTTGGTCATGTTTTTAAGATCTTCAAATGCTTTGCAGCTCGTTAAACATTATTATTTCATATGAAGTTCTTCAGAATTTTTACTCATTTTAAACCACATTTTTCTGCAGTAAGTTGAGGACACAGTTGGGTTTTTTTTTGATAGTGTATGTAACAAGAACTAAGCAAACCTCCTGAACTCTCTTAAGTTGTATCATTGCAAGGAGCTAGCAGCAGCAGAAAAATGTTATCCTTACATATATTTATTTATTTATTAAGCTTTTTAATCTGAAATCTACAGAGTAAAGGATTATGGTTGCTGAGTGATAGCCTTAGTAGCCAATATCGGAGTTTCTTTAATTATGATTTTGTTTTTGGTCTTTTGAATTTCTTAGGTTTAAAGTGCATAGATTGGGAATGTCTTCAATGTGTTTGGAATGTTTAGGTGTCAGATTCCTAGTTTTGTTGACTGTTGCTTCATCACCAAGATAAAGATTTTTTTATATTTTGTACAGTTTATTTTTAATCAGGATTAATCACATATTGATTCCTCCCATAGTTTAAGACAGCTGGAACAAGATGCTATTGACTTAGAGGAGCAGTCTCAACAGGCAGATGTAAAGGTCAAGGAAATAAATAACCAAAAAGCAGGACTTGTTACTGAATTAATGCAGCTCATAAAGGTAAGTATTTTTAACTTGGTATATGTTCCGCTATTGAGAAAAGTCCAATTATTGTAATTCAAGGAGGAGGTACATGATATTTGGATGTGTTGCTGTGAATGTTTATAAGCCATCTTGCTTCAAGATAACATCTTTTGAAGCTTTTATGATCTTAAACTTGTTCATCTGTTGTTGATTTGATTTGTAGATCATTTGCTTGTGTTGATTTACACTTTCAGGGGCTGAAGTCTTACAGTCCATGATTCAATTCAGTAAACACAGGAACAAACTAGGAAATCGTTTTGGCCTGTACATTTTCAGAATGTTCATAATGCTGTGAACTCTTCCTTTCACCCTAGTTCAAAATGCTTTTTTTCTTTCTATTAAAAAAAAAAAAGTGAAGCATTAGTCATGTGAAAAATTGGCCAGAATCTGTAAGGATCCATGATTGTGGAAGAGGGCTGGGATGTGAAAAGTACTTGAATCTCAGGCTCCAAAGTTGTAATGTTTTCTTTAATTCGAAAAAGAAGAAAACATTCTGAACTTAATTGTTGCTTTCTTTTAGCCTGTAAACCTTAGTAATGGGAGCTGCCAGAAAGTGAAATTTCTTAACTAGGAACTTTTCTTAACTAAGGAACAAGAAACAGTTACTTTTAGTTCTAAGGGAATCTGTGCATTTGCACTCAGCAGAAAGAACATTGCCATTCTTGCAGCCTCTTTGGACGTGTATGCTTTTCCTTTGCCATGCCTTACTAATGCTGTAATGTGTTCTTACTTACCCTTGAAGAGTTGAGTATTACCTGTGAAGTGAGGGCAATTTCAGTACTTTCATTGTTGGTATTTACATGGTAAATAACGAAATAAATGCTCCTATTGGGTAGGCTGTTTCTGTTGGCTGATAGGCATGGACTGCAACAATTGGAGTGTTTCAGATACCACCTTTGGTCAGCTAGCCAAACCAATTTTGAAATGCCAAAGGACAGAAAACATCTGCCATGTTGAAAGGGTTGCTTAGACTCTAGATTATGTTACAGAACTTGTGCATGTAATAACAGTACTGAAAAGTAACTCTTCAAAATGTGTGCAAATGCTCTATATTTAAGAGAAATGTCTAGAACATGCTTCTGAATTTTCTTTTTTTTTTTTTTTAAATTTGATGCTGATTTCCGAGCACATAAACTGTCCCAAGTGTGTTGCTTTTGTAAAGTGCACCTGGCGTTGTTTACTGACTGCTGTATGACTTGCCTGAAGAAGTGTCTTAATCTCTTTCTACCTAGTATAGAAAAACAAATTTGACACATACTGGGTATTTCTCAGTATACCAGCGGTATAGGGGAACAAGGATGATAGTTGCTTGAAATAGTTATATTGATTACCAAAGGGATTTGTTTCAGTGGTGTGTCAGCTTAATTTTTATATTTGGCATACTGTAGGAAATACATGCTACTACATACTGAAGAGAAGAAAATGGTTCGATACAAGAAAGATGTTTCATTAAAATTATTGAAATCTGTACGTTTCTGGTCATCCCCAAACCAAACTTCATGAACGCTTCTAAGTTTGTGTGTCTTTGTACTTTTCCAATAGGTTTTGTAGTTGTGCTAGCTGTAGGCTATTAAAGTGATAAAAAATTGGGCAGTCATATGTTTTAGGCATACTCATTTCTGCCACAGAAGGAAATTTAAAACACGTGTAGGGTTTTTGTGTTTTAATATGTGTTGGCAAATTTACACAAAGATGTGCCAGACTGTACCTGGAACATACCTAATATACATTAGTACTTTACAACCAGTTACAGAAACAGCCTTGTTCCACCGTTTCAGATTCTGGCACTGGTTTTGCATGTAGTTCTCTTTGCGTTGTTGTATTTGAATAACCTTTGTCCATTTTTCACCTTCTTTTATCTTGACTTTATTCAGTTTACTTCCCTTACAATGACTGGAAACAAATAAATAGTAAAGTCTCAGATCTTGGCTCACTATTGTGGTCAGGAGCTAACACTGAGAAAATTTCATCCTACAGGTCCCCTGCAGTTGGAGCAGGCCAACAGTTGGAACCTTGTTCTCCTTTTCTCCTTTTCATTAAGAGAAAAGATTCTTTTCTTGAGGGAGAGAGGGGATGTTTGTTTATTTGTGGTTTTTTATGATTGGCATATTATAAACTGGTGTTCTCAGTGCCCCATAATTTGAGGTTTGAAGCTGCCCTTCACACAGTCAAGAATATGTTGCTAATTCCTAAGGTTGACTCAGGAATTTAAAGCACCAACCATTTAATGTCAAAGGTGTTAGACCAGGTTCTGGAGATCACCAAAACCTGTTACGAAACTTCCAAAATAGAGCATCCTTTTGTTGTCATATGCTGTTCCAGTTAAGATGCAAGACGCTAGAGTCACTGTCAGTCATCTTGTCAGTGAGAGAGACGTGTATCTTACGTGTTTATTTTTTGACCTTTTTCCATCTCTGTGTGTGACTTACAAAGACCACCAAAATCTACCTGTTTTATTCTGTCTCTGAGAAAGAATTGAGATGGCTTTGTCTTTTCTTGCATTTCGTATGTCAGAGCATGTGCTTTTTTGGTGTAAAATGGTTTTGTTGCAATTGAGATATGTATGCTTACAGATTAAAAGTAGCCGGGGACTGTACATCTTGAAGAACGTGCATCACCAATAAATCACCTTTCTTTTTTCACTGAATTTGTTGGAGAGCTGAACAGTGTATGAGATTGTATGGTATGACTAAAAAAGTGATCAATTCTGACGCTTGAAAGTGATTGTATCAGTCTTGAGTGTCTTGTGGGGAGGAAAAAAACAAAGACATTTTCTGTTTTACTGTGTAGAGCTGCGTATCACTGAACATCCTCAAGGCGGATTTGATTCTTCAGAGCACTGCAGTGGCTGCTGAGAAGATCAGACTAGAATCAGAGTATAAAGCTGCAAGTGGACAGCTAAAAGCCGCAGAGGTAACCATTTCTATGAATACTGGGTTATCTACTATGAAAGCATCTTCTGTGGAAGCCTTTGTAGAGAAAAGGATGCTTCTGTGTCTGTGTTAGTACTGCTAAATATTTAGCCTTGATTTCTGTAGTTTGACTTCAGCCTCTTCATTTAAAGCTGAATAGGAACTTTGTCTTTCTCAGCTAAACCCGCGAAGCTTCTGCGAACATACTCTGAACCGTCATCATGTCCTGGATGTTTTTATTATAATGCATGGTGTGCATAAAAACACTAGCTGTCATTTGGAAGTATTAGTTTTCTTCCAAGTTTGTCATAGGCAAGTAGCCCCAACCCACACAGGAGATGCAAGCTCAAGATGAACCAGAAAGTACTCTATCAGAGTAAGGCTGTATCCCTTCTTTGGAGGGGAGAGAGAGAGAAGAATAAATGATCATTGTATTGATCATATTAGGAAGCTATGTTGTGTTGAGGGAAAAAGACAAGTCTGAGAAATTAGTTCCAAAGACATGCTCTTTTTGAAGAGCAGAGGATGCTGTGATATCTCCTGGATTGGTCAATTTTTGTGTTCGTGCAATAGTACGATCTTTCAGTGTACTGTGGGAAAAAACTCAAAGTACAGGATGGTAAGTTTTTTCCTTCTCTGAGTATTCAACTGCATCTTAAGTTTTCACATACACGGAAGTCCGAAGCTTCTCCATATACTGCATTTTGAGTCTTTGAATTAAGTCTTTAGCCCCTTTTTTTGGAAGTTGTCTTTCCTGTATTGTCCTGTGAATTACAGATGTTGTACACTTTGTGGTTTATTTCTTACTTTCTGCCTTAGGAGATGCATTTTGATGGGAAAAGCTCTGCATTTCTTAACTTCATCTCAAATTCAGTGTTACTTGAAATTGTGTTTAAATTGGGCATTCTGTCCAACTTCTAAGTGGCTTTGGCTGTGATATTTGTTTTTCGACAGCAGTTGAAAGCTGCTGTGAGTATGCCATCGCAGCATTTCAAGGAAGTCTTGAGAACAGCTGCTACGTGTTTTTATAAAATAAATAAACCTGCAAAAATGAGGAAGCCAAACAGAAATGAGCATGTTGTACAAAAGCTGTATAGTGTACATCTTAGTACAACTAAGAGATCACGTATGTTCCTTTTGTGAGGTCTTGGCACTGGGATACTGTGGAGAAAGCAGCATGTTTGTTGCTTTATAGTGGGGTTTTTTAACCATTTAGGTTAAGGCCAAAAAAAGTACATGGTTTTGAACAAGTCAGGTTAACAGCAACAGATTTCTGGGGTTTGTATTATTATCACTGAAGTTCAAGTGGGAACCTCAGTGTTATTGTAACAACTCCTTGGTTTTAATTTATTTAGTGAACCTAAGAAGCAAATCTGTGTTTGTGACCCATACTGAACATTAGGGAGGATTGTTAGCCCCATCTGCTCATTAGATAATTGGCACAGTTGCCTGCATGTTTATGATGGTTGTTTGAAAGAGTCTTGCTAATTGTCTTGCTTTGATAGCTTGTTAATTTTCAGGTTCATTTGATGCGAATTTGTTTAAATAATTGGCATTAATACTCAGTATGTATATTGCAGCATTTGCTCCTTAAGCCAAGTTTTAAGAAAATACAGATTCTGTTTTTGTATGGATAAATTTCCAAACTTCAAATAATTAAATGCCATCACCAAACATGTGTTTAAACACAAATTCATGAGAAAACATTGGCTACTGGTAACCGTATTTTCTTTAAAGAGCTTATTTTGAACAAAACCGGTTGCGGTGCTGATAGGCACAACACAATACCAGTTGCTGTGCATACAGAGTATAACTGGTTTCTGCTGTTGGGTAGGGGTGTTTCAGGAAGCTGTAATCACAGCCCCACACTAGTGCAGAGCTTTCCTGAAGTACCTACGTGAAGCTCTTTCCAAGTTGGTTCTTATGGTGTTGGTTGAAACAAATGTAAAGCTCTGTCTAGGCTGTGATTTTTCGTGGTAGCATCTCTGTTCAGAATGGTAACTTGTTCTGTTCAGAGTTACTTTTTTAACTAGGTTGTTTTATTGAGTCACTGTAAGGAAATCTACAGAAACTTTAACATGCACTTTTGAATATATAGGAGGGAGAAGAAATAAAAACTTGTGTATTTTTATTTATTTATATTTATCTATGTTTTATTTAATGTGTGGCCATGACAATCAGCTGGCAAAGCTGAATGACAATTGAGACTTACCTTGTTGAGCTTTCAGTGCATTTATTCTAGTACTTTCTTCATAACCACATCAAGTATCTATTGCTTCCCAGTCTTCCTGTTGAATGCTGAGGTTTTTCTCTGCCCACTCATTTTCCTTTTTACATCCTGAAGAATTTTGTTTGCCTTAGGCTTGGTCAGGCATATTCAATGTTGAATCTATTTCAGGTTTTCAGTGTTTAGAGAGAAACTCGAACTCTTGTTTCGTGCAGCTCTGCAGGGTTTCAAGTGGGAGCTGTATGTACAATTGTGAGCTGAGATTCCCCACTTTAGATGAGTCAAAGTTGACTTTGTCTCTGGAGTGGTCAAACATGTAAGAATAAATTGATGTTTCTTGTATGAAAAAAATATGGGTGTGATGTCTTTCACTGGAGCCTTTGCCTTTGTTACCATGAGGTCAAACACATTTCAAATGAAGCCAGTTGGTTTTTAGATTTCTGGGATCCAAAATACAGTTCGGTTTTAAATTAGAACTTTCTAAAATGTTCCCAAAAATGTTATTAAATGCATTATAGGGCATATGCAAATATGTAATGGAATGTAAGTGTTGTGTTGTACAGTTCTATTTGTGTTAATTCAGAATTATGTAAGATCTTGCCTGTAACCAAAAGGAGGGCCATCTTCCACTTACTGCTGTTTTATGTATATAGATGTAATGCCAGTCCTTCTTGCCCTTCCATGTGACATTTCCTTCTTCCTCTACTGTAGACTTAGGGAGGGGGTGTAGAGTCTGAAAAAGGCCTTTATTTTAATTCTTTTTTTCTTTTTTTCACTTCTGAAAGCGTAACAGTGTAGAAAAATATCTTCACACTGTTGTTGTAGTTTGTGAAAACTGTGAAATGCTTACCTCTAATGCAAAATCTATTTCCTAGTATTCAGTGGAGGAAAGGAAAAACCGTTTTGAGTTCAGACATGCTGCAGAGACCAGCAGCCGTAATTCTTGAGTGAATATAAGAACTTCATGGATGATCACTCATGGTAGTATCTGTTACTACTGTGTCTGTTGTATTTAGTAAATAAAGATTAAATTGTCAGGAAGTAATGTGATTTGCTATTGGTGTCTGTGTCCTGTACTTTAAAAATGTGGAATAAGCCTTGAGCGAACTGTATGCTCTTCAAATGAACGCTTCAGGTTTGGATTTTTTTTTTTTTTTTTTTTTTTGCCACTGGAGGGCTCCCATATTTAGCTGAAGATCACAACAATAAAAATTGGGAAGATAAAGCTCTCCAAAGTGTAGGAACGTAACTAAACTTTCCTAACTGTTAGAAGAAAGTTCTGAAGCAAAGTATTGTGTATATGGATTATGAGTTAGAATTTTGTTACTTCTGAAAACTCTGTATTCCTGTGGTGTAACTATTTCAAAGACATATTGCATGTGTAATCACGGAGTAAATGTATAGTAAAATAACTTGGATTAAAAGTTCCAGTATCTTAGTATGTATTGGTATGTACACCTTTTTACTCTTAAGTGCCTGGAGCTCCCAGCTATCTCCAGTTGGGTGCTCACCTGAGCTGGGAGACAGCAGCAAGCTGTTGCTCCCAAGCACTGCCAGCTTGGCATTTGGAAGCAGCAGACCTGCAGTAGGGATGACGTGTATAAGGATAAGCGATTGAGATTTCTGTGACACAGGGGAAGAGATACTTCTGTCCAGGTTTTTGACTGAATACTGCTTATTTGAGATAATCTTTAGCTCAGTGTTTCATGAAGGTATTGTGTTTTGTGTATTGTATTTTAACTACTGTTGTGATAACACTGTATTATTAAAGTAATAGAGAAAGGTTGGCCACTTACCTGTAGAAAGTTCCAAAGAGTTTAGCCTTGAGACCACTGTTGAAAACCAGAAACTACCTGCTTTTTACTTACTTTTCAGCACTAGTTTGAAAATTATGTGTGTTTCCATTTTTTATTTTGCTGGCTGTATTACAGAGGTGGAATGTGAAGCAGCAAAGGAAGTACTTCTGATTGTGTAATTATGGTGTTTACTCTCTAAAATTTCAGCTAATATATATTGTTCAGTGTACATCCTGTTCACTGTGTTCTCCCAAGCAGATAAATACAGTTGAATGGGAGCTAATAAAAAATAAGGCTCACACTAGCTGTGTTTTGGTGTATAGGGAATTTCCTGTAAAACAGTCTATTTTGAGACATATATTGGATCTACATGCACAGTTGTCTAGTTGAGAGAAAATAAATTTGGCTGTATTACAAGAACATGCTTTTGATCAGTCTACTTTGGCATCTGTTGACTTCAAGCAGAGAGGCAGAATTGAGTTCTGTGTGTTGAAACAGATTTTCGATCTTTAAGCAGTCTGATTTCACCTTCATTCTCTGATTTAGAAGTTTGTTGCCAGTGTGCTAGTGTCACCTCTAGAAAGTTATAATAAAGTAGAAAAATGTGGTTTAATGTCTTCAATATCTTTTCTGACAGCAACGATTTCGTGAACTGGATGACAGGAAGCGAGTTCTTATAGAGAACTGCAAGGAATTGCTGAAAAAAGCTCAACAGGTCTGCAAACTGGGTCCGGATGAACATCTTCCAAAAGAATTTCAAACTGTATGTACAAAACAAAGTCTCCACATACCTCTTAAATTTTGGATGTTGTCCAGTATTCTAACTTTTCCAGCCAAGAATATTATGTCTTTATATTAGAAGGCTACCAGTAAAGGATCATGTGTACTTCTGTTAGTTTTGCTTCATATATTGTCACTTACCCTTTTAAAGTACCTTTAAATAGTGCTGGGATATCTTCTGACTATCACTTCATTCTGTGCACAGGGGAGAGAAAATTTGATCTGAAATTTCAATTAAAATCCATAGTCTTGTGTTCACACAAATAATTAGAGACCATAATTTTTAGCTTCTTGATCTAATGGAACAGCACAAAAGAACTGAAGTCTGGGCCCACCTTCTTACCTGGAGGTCTTCCCAGCCTCTAGAAGTATTTGCATGGCTTAACTAGCATAGCCACTGACGTATACTAAATCTGTGAGCATTTGTACCTGCCCAGGGTGGGCAACTAAGGAGCAAGTAATTGTGGATCTGTGACATAGTAGCGCTTCAAGCCTTCTTTCTGTGTCCAGAAATGTTTTTGATGGAATCTTGCTATGTTAAATTTTGAATATGTGACATCCTAATTAAAACTAATGGAATATTTTATGGCTTATTCAATTTCTTTCTAGCAAAGTTGAATTCTTCATTAGCAATTGCTGTGTAACACATGCATCTTCTCTCTTGTAGGCTTTTCAGGCTCTTCCGGCCACATTGGAGGAAATTGATGCTTTCCTGAATGAAGAGAAAACTAGGGCCTCCTGTTTCACAGGCCTGAATGCTTCGGTATGTTCACTGCTTTCTCTGTGCTCTCCCTTCCTCCCCCTCCACCCATATTGTACTTGCTTCCCACTCTGTGTTAGATCTCTTGGTATAATAAGCTAGACAGCAGGAACAATGTGCTGTAAATGCCAGATTCTGCATCTATTAGAATTTTAAGTAGGTTCTTCCAAAAGAACAGTGTGTTCTGTGCGTTTTTTAAAAAAAAAAAAAAGTTGCAGTAACCTGAAAGAAGCAATGCTTTACAGTTTCTTTGCTTTAAAGCTAGAAATGGTTCTTGTTCAGTGTGCAGTGCAATAATCTATAATGGTACTGAATTGAATCAGTGTAGTGTGATATTTTTACAGTCAAGGTTAGAATTGGCAAACATTTTATTGACTGCTTGGAGTTTTTTATTTTGGCAGGTTGTTGAAGAATATGTTAAGCAGACACAAGAAATAGAGCAGCTGACAGTATATCTAGAGGAAAAGAAGAAAGAATTGGACAACTATAGGCAAAACATTTCACAGGTAATGGCTGAAATTATCACTTACGTATCAGTATGTCTGTTTGAATAGAATGTATGTACAGAAATAAAGGGTAACATTCCAAGTAGTCTTGAGTGTAAACTGAGATGTTCGCTTCTCTAATTATGACTTTTTTTTTTTTTAAAATGCTATCTCTAAATGAAAATTCAGTTATTAAAAATTGATTTACCTGGATATGTATACTTCTAGGTCAAAGAAAGGTGGCTAAATCCTTTGAAAAAGCTGATTGAGCAGATTAATGAGAAGTTCAGTAACTTCTTCAGTGATATGCAATGTGTTGGTGAAGTTGATCTTCATGTGGAAAATGAGGTATGATTTATTTTTCATATGGAAGAATAACATTCATATTTTCATGCCTTGAATGTCTGCAGGGATGGAGCTTCCACCACCTCTCTGGGCAACCTGTGCCAGTGTTTTACTACCCCCATTGTAAAGAATTTTCTCCTCACATCCAATCTGAATCTTCCGTCTTCCAGTTTAAAACCATCACCCCCTGTCCTGTTGCAGCAGGCTCTGCTGCAGAAGTCTCTCCTCATCTTTCTTATAGGCCCCTTTTAGGAACTGAAAGGCCACAATAAGGTCTCCCTGGAGTCTTCTCTTCTCCAGGCTGAACAACCCCAACTCTCACAGCCTTTCCTTACAGGAGAGGTGCTCTATCCCTTTGAACATTTTTGTGCCTTCCTGTGGACCCTTTCCAACAGGTTGGATCCATATTTTTCTGTACTGAGGGCTCCAGAGCTGGACACAGTACTCCAGGTGGGGTATCACCAGAGCAGAGCGGCCTGTTAAGCGCTCAGTAGCATTTGTAGGCATGGTTTACCTCTGATAAAGAGTTTAAAGCATCTGCAGTACCCTGGGGAGAAGTATTCAGAGCAGTGGGCTGAAGAGAAATTGGGTATTTTGTTTTAAATTGATCTCTAATGACAATTTTAAGACTCTTGTATGCAATGCATAGACCCCAGAATAGTGAAAGTTGACATTTAAACATTTTTTTGGTGTTGTAAATTACTTGAGCAGCTTTTCTTAAAATTTTTGAAGTGGTAGTTATTATTGGAGGCAGAACAGTGAGTGACTGACAAGGCTCTTTACATGAACTGCATAAAAATGTTTATGTAGAAACTAGTATTATGAAACAGTAAGACATTAAAACATGGACTTTCCAGTTCTTTTGATAGTTAGCTAGAGAGTTGGATCCCTATCACACCAGTATCATCTTCTATGTAAAAGTAAGCTGGGAGAGGGTACACATGAAAATAGTAAAGCAAAGGCAGTCTGGACTGTCATTCTGAATATCTTCTTTGGAAAGTTTTGCTTTTCTCTTGCAAAGATGTCACAAATATTTTAAGAGATTAGTTAGTGATACTGTGCCAATGACTAAAACTTTCCTCAAGGGATCAGTGCATATAATACAGAGAGGTGGGTAATCTGTTCTAGAGCTTGGATTCCTTCCTTACCTTTCTTCTCTGCAGATGGCTCTTTTGCCCTGATCTGTAAATATCAAGAGAGAGATGCTTGAGGCGTCTTTATTAGAAATATTCTTGTGACGCTGAAGTTCAAGCCTCTGTTAGCCTGTCCTGCAGGAACCTTGAGATCTGATGATGTATGTCCTTGGTGATAGTACCTACTGTGTGAAGCACTTCACTAGGTTCTTCCTTGACTTCATAGCAGAAACCTTAGTGAATGTTCTAACTTTCCTGGTAGCACTTGGTAGTGCTGTTCAGAATAATTCAGAGTAGTAACCCTCACCTTCCTCGATTCCCCACAGGGAGTTTTGAACATCATTCTTGGCAGGTCCTGGAATATCTGTGAGTTACAGGAACTGGCACTCCGAGTAGTCTGGCAAGAAAGGCCTTACTTTCTGATGCCATCGCAGCTGTGCCAGAGGGTGGGTCATCTTTACTGGAGGTTTTGCTAGCCTGCACCTTGTACACTTCTCCAAGCCTAGTTTCAATCTGTGCCAGTGCAAGTGAAAGTCCAGTGGGCCTACAGAGGCCTTGGGTCCTGTACTTCATTTCTCCTTACATGAAGCTGTTGTGTGATGTCCCTCAAGGATTGACAGTTCCATGTTTCTGTAACACTGGAACACCAGAAGCACCAGGGGTTTGTAGTACATGAAAGTAAATACCAGTATCAGACCTTACATTTTCCAGTCTTGAGGATGTTTGTCTGCCTGCAGGTGTAGTAAAACACCAAAAGGTGGCTTGCTTTTCTGATTTAGCAGATGAGCTCATCTGAGAGGATTTAATAGATCCTCTTCGATGCTGGATGCTATCTGTTATGTACATTACTCATCCCAAAGCAAGACCTGAAGGTATCAAAGAAGCTGAAAATTATTCCTACAGACTTGAAGTTCCTTTTAAATCTTTTAAGGTATGGCTTACTTACTTCATGGTAAGTAGAAGACCATTTTAGACCTGTTCTTCATAAAACCCAGCCCTACAATGAGTCAGCCCTGCCAGGTCACCCAGGTTCATATGCCTATTGATGACTGGAGTATGTGGCAATCTGAATCAAACTGGAATGTGCCAGCTTCTGTGGGATGGGCTTCTCAATGTTTGTTTGTCAGGACTGTCCTTTCTGAATCTAGTATTCCAAGAGTAACCATGAGGAACCACCTCCACTCATTTCTGCTACTGTAGGCATTTCAACTGCATTACCAAAAGAGCACAAGTCAATTACCTTCAAGTGCAGGATATATATATCTATATCCATAGTGAATATAGATAGACCTCTTGAAACTCATGTTTGTGAAACTTTTGATTCTTTCCTGTAGGTCTCATTAAATTAATAGGTGCATATAAGGATTGCATCTTATGCAGACTAAATGGTAAGCAGTCAGTATGGGTTTTCAGCACTCAGGATTGCATTCCCATTCCTGCACTGAATTTACCTGAACTTCAGAAATACCAACAAGTACTTGAAAGATTTCTTCCTTGATTCATGAACGTATTTCCTTGGGTGGGTTGTCTTTTGAACCACATGGGTTATTCCCAGACTAAGACTGCTGATAAGTGTCAGTTTTCTGTTAAAAGAAAAGGCCAAGGTTGGAATCCATGTGTGGTTTTCCTGACTGAGCATGAAAGTGAAATTTCTGTTATGGTGGATTTTGTATGGGTTTTGTATCTCAATCTACTAGTGGAGGAAAAGTGAAGGATTTAATTAGACTGCACTTTAGGAGGTTTGGATGGGATTTTAACCTACACACACACCCCACCACCCTCATCACCCCACTGTTCAAGTTGATAGGATCATGGACCCTAATGCATTTTTTTTCCAGTGAATTTATAGGGGTATTGCTTTGCCCTTTTTCTAGCCAAGAATTTTCCTTCTTGTCGCTGTTGTTAAGATTAAATCTTCCTTACCAGTTATTAGAAATTAACAAATCACTGTCACAGGGAGAGAGTTGTGTTAAAAATTCTCTATCTAAGAAGAACAGATCAGAGTTAAGGAAAATATATAAAACCGAATTCATAAATTGACACTAAGTTGAACCTGACTAGGTCATAGACCCCTGTAGAACATTTGACATAAATTTCCTTCAATTTGTATGTCGTTATCAAATAAGCTGTAGTACAAGAAACTGAGTTTAACAGGTATTGGTTTTTATAGGAGGAGTACGACAAGTATGGAATTCGCATTAGAGTCAAATTCCACAGTAGCACTGAACTTCATGAATTGACTCCATATCATCAGAGTGGAGGTGAGAAAAGTGTTTCCACTATGTTGTACCTGATGGCTCTACAGGAACTCAACAGATGTCCTTTCAGGGTTGTAGATGAAATTAATCAGGTGAGGATCAATAGTGCAGTACCTACCTCTTACTGTACAGATGCTTGTAACATAGTGGAGAGAGCAGACTTCTTTTTTTTTTTTTTTTTCTTTTTTAGGGTATGGATCCAATAAATGAGAGAAGAGTTTTTGAAATGGTTGTGAAAACTGCTTGTAAAGAGAGCACGTCTCAGTACTTCTTTATTACACCAAAGGTGCGTGGCAGAAAATGAAAGTTTAATATGTAGGAGAGTTGAGTTTTGTGTTATATCATCCCTGTACACAATGCAAAACTTATCTCTGTTTTACTGAAGAACTTCGTATTAAAAGTTAACTGTAAGGGAATTTGTCCATCTTAAGGACAGTCCTGGCAAGAATTCAGACAACTTACACAAGGCTAACCTGATCATAAACACATTATGGAATTGTGGCCTCTGTGGAAGTATCACAAGTTAACCACCAGTGGACAGGGTACCATGTTACAAGGCTGTCAAATGTTATACCTCTAGCTTACAAAGAATTGGGATTGTAGCAGAGACCAGCTTCCAAGCAAGTCAGATAATGATATTGTAACAGTCTGGTGCTGCTGACATCAGAAGAACTAGGGAAGTCCCACCTTAATGGAGGAAAACTATTCAAGTAATAATTTGAAACTTACAAGCTCAGAAAAGGTCAGTGCTATGCTTTATGGAGAATGGCTTGAAGAGGACTTTTCAGTCAAGACTGACCAGTGCCTAATTGTGCTCTTCTGTTAAAATAAATTAAATATATATAATTGGCTTGCTAGATGATGAAGTAGTGTGATGCTATGGCTTAAAAGGACTAATAAGTAGGGTGACTGTTCACCTGCAGCTTTAATGGAGGCTAATCTTATGTTCAACTTGACCCAAGTCAGATTGAACCAGTAAAGGTTACTTGTACACCAAGGAGGCAGCATTCAGAAATGGGCTGTATGCTTTTTATTAAGATGCCAGTTTTCCTGCATCCTGTACTTCACTGTATCTTAGAAAATCTGGCTAGTACATGCTATTCTTATCTGTAAACAGCAGTTGAAGGACCTGAGAAAAGCCTCCTAGAGCATGTACCTGACTGAAAGTAGGAGGAAGGTGATGCTTTTTGCTCCTTTCAATCTTGGAGTATACTTACCTCCACACAGTTTGGTCATTTCCTGTCCATATTACTTCTTTTTTGTTCTGTGTGTTATCTGTTCCCTTTTGTCATCTTGCTATTTCTGTCCTTATTGGATCTGCTTTTCTGTGCTCTCTCCTACTTTGAAAGCAGTTTGGATATTAATAGGATAGGAATAGCCCTACTACCTGTAATGCTTCCCACATATAAGCACCTGTAGAACATGACTGACTAGGGTTAAGAGTATGTTTTAAAAGTTGTGCTCATTGTCAAATTCGTATGAATAGAGAAGGGGGAAAACTGAATGAAGAGCTAACTGGAAAGATCAGAGTAAAACTGAGAAAGCAGAAGTAAAAAAATTCAGAAGCTTAAAAACAATAATCCATTTAACATATGGTAAGAAGATGATCAAGGAATGTGTTGCATTACTGTTCAGCAGCAAGAGATGCATTTATGAAGAGGTGGCTGAAGGTATTTGTATTTCTTCTTTCCTCTCCCTCCCTCTCTCTTCTGCAAGTCAGTGGTCACCACAGTTAATATGGTGAAGTTGTAATGGCCTACCACAAAGAACATTATTGAGATAGCACTTCATGTAAAGATTTTAGCTGATGAGATAGTTTGAGTGGGCTGCATCAGAGGATAACTACAAGGCTGTACAGAGCAGACTGAGGAGAAAGCCAGACTCTGCTTTTCAAGTGGCTGACCTGTAGTTCCTAAGCCTATGCTGTATGTCATCACGTACTAGAAGAAAGCATGACAAATTGTCATACTAAGCTAAATTCTGTGTATGTATCCAGTGGATACAAGGAAAACTGTTATCATGGTTTTGTTCAGTATGTTGACACTTAACCCAGCTATATTTTTAAGCAAGCTACAGAATGGAAGAGGTATAGATTTAATATGCAGTAGAGTTGATTAAGAAATTTGTATTCTGAATAGTTATTTACTGTCAGAATGAGTAGATGAACTGATTGTGTTCCTTAGGAGTGAGTTGTGGGTTTGAAAATCAGTATTTTTAATACCAATCTATGCTGAAACAGATTACGTATATTAGACATGCAAATAACCATGAATGCTTCTTTGTGGTATAGCAGAATTAGAATTCAAAACAATCTGAGGTGAGGTAACTGTATTTTGAAAATGGAATGCATTTCAGAGCAGACAAGGAAATAATTTGGTATTTGAGTGGAAAAAATCAACAACAGCATTAGTTCTAAGGCGTACATGCCTAAATGACATGAGAAAAGTTACGTGGCTAACAAGCTGAGCGTTAATTGCAAGACGATTGCTGAAAGTCATCCTGAGCACTGCAGATAACCCTAGTTGGGCTTGTGCCTGACGAGATCTAGGCTACGGTAAGTGTCCACTTTTGGCTGTTATTCTTCAGAGAAGTAGTGCAGTGGCTGGAGTTACTCCAGCAGACAGCAAGATTCCAGAAGACAGCAGTGCAACTTCTTAAAAGTTTTTAAAGTTTTGGTTTTCCACTAGTGGAAATTGCTTAGTTTAGAGGTGCACAAGGCTGAAGAGAGAGAATTGTGCCCCAGTAACTCTACATCCTGCCCTGCCCTGCCCTGTCCTGGAAAAAACAGCTAATATGCTCTGCCTATTGTGGATATGGCAAAAAAGTAATGATCTCATTTGCATATGAAGTTAGAGGTACAAAGGTTTTTTTTAGATACCAGAATTTTTCTGTAGTAAGAATAGTGAGGTATTGAAATGAGTGGAGTCATTTGGGGCATTTCTAGGAACAAATGTGCGTCAGGTGTCAGAAAAGCTATAATCCTGTTGTATTGATGCTTTAAGCTCTGAGGCTTTAAGTAGACCTCCTTTACTTTTTTTAAGTAATGTGGAACATTTTGACATTCGTTATTTCGACTTTGGTTTTTGTGTTTTTCACCAGCTCCTGCAGAATCTCACTTACAATGACAAGATGACGGTGTTGTTTGTCTACAATGGACCTTTTATGCTGGAGTCAGTCAAATGGAACTTAAAGGCTTTCTGTAGGCGGCGGCGGCGACTTGGAAGGGTAGATAAACAGTGATACAGATATACATATGAATACATAGTGAGATATATATAAATGTATTCTGCTTCTGTAGAACTTTTTGAAACATCTGGCTTTCAAGACTTCAGATATTGTAAAAGATGAGAACTGCAAAGAACCGATTAAGAACTCTGATTCTTAAAACTTGTGTAACAGATTTGAAGTACATAACTTTTTCCCCAAAATCTTTCGTAGGGGCCTCTTTTTCCGAAGAACCTACTTTTTCTCAATAATAGTTTTAAATAAAAAGGAAATTTCTTGTATTTTGCTCTTTTATCGGTAATGTAGCATCAGAAGTACAGTTAATTTTTATAGATTATGCTGGACTAGTTCTGTGTCTGTGTTTTGTTTTTCATTTTTTTTTGTTTTGGAGGTTTTTTTTTTAAAAAGAAATTGCTTTTGATAATAGTGTTTCCTTAACACAGTAAAGTATATTCTCTGAAATATTCTTATTGAAATAGGAACTTTGAATGAAGAACATAATTTGTAGGAAGATAATGATTTGTAAATACACGTGTATTGATTTTTGTTTTGTGAAAACATACCTGAAGTTAATATAAAGAATGTATTATTTTTAGAGTAATATACTTTATTATTGTTATTTATTATTTTTGCACTAGTACTCCATTTTGTATTCCTGGAAGGATAAGGTCTTTATTTTTCTACCATGTCTCTCTCAGCAAGGAGATTGACAAAGCGCCAGGCATTTTTGAAGCTATGAGCTGATTAACTTGCAGAAGTAAAACTAAGCAATATGTAACTTTTTTGTTGCATTTATAAAGTAAAACTTGCTACATTTTTAATGACAGATGCAGCAAATAGTACTGGTGATTTCACACGTAAGCTAAAACCAGGAGGCTTTTTACAAAGGTTCAGTTGCGTTGGAGTGGTTGTACATGCAATGGCTTTTCAACAGATAGCCATAAAATTCATTAGTGGAGTTTTGACCATTGTTAAGCGTTTGCAAGTAGATATTATCAAAAAATGTTGAATACCAAAAAACCTCACAACACTTAATACCAAATTGTGAAGAGTATGATTGTTAAAGAAATGGAAACTACAACTGGTATGTGAAATGTCTGAAAAAAATTACCGAGTCCCAGGACACCATCTGAAAATACGCAGCATCCTTGTTTTCACAGGGGAGAGAGCCTTCAGTACAACTTCATACAAAATCTGGTGGCCACTTCATTTTGAGTGGGAGTTTTCTTAACAGCATCCTGTCAATGAACTTTGCCAGTGGAATTGGTATGTCAGGCTTTTCACGTTCGAATGAGAGAAACAAAATAGTCCCTCTGCAAAATATATGCTAGAATCTAGAAGGTTTTGGGTATTAAAAGTACTGCAATTCTTGGTCTGAATAGATGTGCGTTAAGGGAATAGAGAACTACACATTCTTCTGTCGCAGACCACTGTTGATCAATGGAGCAGTGTCTGTGAAATGAGTTCCTGCAGTAAGTTCCATGAGGATTAGTGTCCACACACAAATATTTGACAGAAGAACTAAAAGAGTGTGGAAACTTGGGCTGTAGTCCAGGGATTGAGTGGGCCACGAGAGTATCCTCAGGTTAATTTAGGCTACAAGCCTATCTATTCACTGTATTGCAAGATGGGGATTTTAAATGGGTTCTTTCATCTTCAGAATACTTCGCTTCTCCTAACCCTGAACTGTTAAGGTGATTTTGGTTTTGGATCGTTTTGGGTTTTTTTTTTTTTTTAATTGAATGAAAATACAGACATTCTGTTTAGTCTCTGAGGATCACTGTATGAGAAGTGTAATTTGTTTTCGGTGTCTGAATAAGTGAAGCTACTTACATGACCATGTGTTAGGACTCATTTTTTCTATGGCAAGACAGCACTATCTATTCTTAATGCTGTCATCTTAGAACTTCATGGGATTTCTTCAGAGTTCAGTTCCTTTCTCATGTTTCAGACTGAGACATATAAGTCTCACTTATTTCAAAAGGATGGCACTTCAGATCCTGTCCCAGAAATTGTCTTCTGGATGCATGCCTGCCATACTGCACAAGTGAAGACGATGACGGGCTTGTGGGTGTTCGCTTTTTCGTTAGAAGTACTTCAACTATTGACCAGAGGTCCTGATTTTGATGTATCTGGTTACAATCTTAGATGACACTGTCATTCACATTAACTTACCCCAGAAAGTGTAGTAAGCTGCAAACCTGTCACTGTCATGTTAGTGACCAACAGAGCTTCACAGTCCAGCAGCTCTGCTAGCTAAAGCCCTTAATGAACTGTAAAACCAACTTTGCGTATGAAAGCAGCCCTTGCTATTTACATGTGGGCTATACAACATGACTGTAACCTCCCATACCATGTTCCCGTTAGTAAGCTGCTAGTTCATGTGACAGATGCATCCCATCCGCATACAGAGGCCTCCTGGCTTCAGAGGAAGTTTTTTCAACTGGATAGTATATTCGACCATGAAAATCCACAGTCACTTAGTGCAGCTGCAGCGTTACCTTTCACTCCTTGCCCGCATACAGTGCCCTTCCAAGCTGCCAGCTTTCTTGCTGCTCCTGATGCTTTGCTACTGCTATTCAACTCCTCAGGGACTCTTGCTATAAAAACCTGTGGAGTTAATTTCAGTATAACTTTGAGGAGCGGGGGCGAGTGGGAGCTTAGGTTAAATATA